TAGAACGGTAGAACGAACTGTGATAAAAAGTGAACATTTACAATGTTTCAATGCGAGAAGTCACATTATCATGTAACACATGGAAAAACCTTGGTCAATCACAGAGACAAGAGACCCTCCACTAGCCTCCTAGCGACAGGTGGAACCTTTTACTTTCGGGGTTTCAACAATTAGCGAGCAACAGTCATCACCCTATTTTCGGCTGTTGACTTACCTACATGGTCAATGATGAGCTTCGGATGACGTCATGAGCCAAACAACTTTCTCAAACGTCGGCCATTTTCGGCTTGTTTGCAAAACGAAACTGCCAACACGTTGTTGAACATCAACCATGTAGGTAAGTCAACAGTAGAATGCTGAAGTCCCGAAAGTAAAAGCTTCCACCATGGCCAAGATAGTGGAGGGTCTCTTGTCTCTGGTCAATCATAATCTGAATGAAGCGGGCTTATTTAGGGATCATCACCTACCAACAGTCGCATAAGCATCATGGAAATCGGCCCAGTAAGAAAAGTCGAATTAACGATAACATTACAATGTACGGAGACAGAGAGCTGAAACTATATAGTAATGACCTAGGGGAAATTACGTACATTTTTAATGCACATTTAAATATTTCCATCGACTGGATCCTCGAATAGGTGTTAATAATGTGAGAAATGCCTCGCATGCTTAGTCAGGCGTTTAAAGGTGTCAAATCGCGGCTTAGTATTTAACAAACTATGCGTCCAGTTTAATGCGAACGAAAAATAATTAGGAATCACACCGAGTTTCACCAGGGTGCACTTCGGGAAAAATGAGTTGGAGGTATTTTAGGATTCAAGTAGGCATTTACCTAGCCATAAACTTTCTCCTGGTAAGTAAGAATTCAAAAGCTAGAAAAAATATTTTGAACGTGAAAATACGAGGATCGTCCAAAAAGCACTTGTATACCTATTCAATATCTCCTAAAGTGAAAAAGGTAAAGAAAAGTGAAGAGTGCCTGAGGTGTTATTCTTGGCTTTATTGCGCACTATTGAGATTCAATTTTGGTTAGAATAGAACTCAAAAAAAGTGGGTTTTTCTAGCTAAGTCCCGGTTCCAAAATTTCACGGAGCGGCAAATGAGTCGAGACATTTCAAAACGGTCAAATTTCATGTCAAGAAAATAGAGCACATTAGGTTTAGTTATTAGAAAGTTGCAGGACTTACCGATTTTACTTCAATATCAGTTGCATGGGATTAGCCTTTGCTTGATGACAAAATTTGTCGTATAATCCTTAGCATTATCTACCTTGTTTACAAATAATTCGGTAAAAAAATGCAGAATTTAGAAAAAGATGAAGCCTTCATGACATGCTTAAGGTAAATTATCGCAAATTTGAACTGATATTGAAACCTTTCCCAGTGAATAGAACGAATAACAGAGCGAAATTTGCACTTATAACATGGCATGGCGCCGTACTATGAGTATAGGTAGGAACACTACACTCCTCCTTCCATGTCAGAAAAAACTAAATTTTAATTTTTGCATTAAATTTGAAAAGGGCAGAAAATTTCACGTGAAATTGACCCCATAAACCCAAAATCGGACTACTTTACTCCCAAAAATGACCCCTTCAAGAGGGGGACAGCGGCCCCCTCCATTATTTTCCATCCGCCAAAAATTGACATAGATTCTCTGGAAAAAGGTGGTTTCCCACGTAATTGACCCCAAGGAATTGATTTTCATGGTCCCCAAGTCCTCTAGTCGCCCTTGAGGGGTAACTGGAGGAGGCACAATTTCGAAAATCGGGGGAAATTGCGCCTGTGATTTTTGATTTATAGGTGTCAATTTCACGTGAAATTTTCCGTTCTTTTCAATTTTAATGCAATCTAATTCTGCCGGGAATCCCGATTTTGAGGATAGTGACCCCCTTTCCCTCTCTACCTTCTAAGGGGGGCGGGACTATAAAATTCGGATTTTTTCGAGATCGATTCCCTGTTCAACCCTGTGGTCTCCAACTTCGTGCGACCTAAACTAACCGAGAAAAAGGCCTGGTACGGGTGGTTTGGGACAACCTGTATTAGTCGCCTTATAGCACTTCCTGGCACACTGCGACCCTTAACCTCCACTGCCCCCTGTCGAACCGCAATCCTCCCATAGAGAAAAAAAGGAGGTGTGAATTTCGGGCATCTTTGATTTTTTTGATGACACAGGTCAGGACAGACGACTTTTATCGTCGATTTTCTTGGAAATGGTGTAATAAATCGAAAAAAGTCATTGTACATAAAGTTATTGAATTATTTATATCATGAGTTGATTTAGGTAAAAAAAAAAAATCTGATGTTATGGTCCGTTTTTCATGATTGGAATTCCGGATTTTGCTGGCCATGCTGAGCCGTCCTACGTCACGAAATAAACGATCTTAAAGATGCAAACACTTCCTTTTTTTTTTTGTCTGTGCAACCCTTCGGGCATCGAGCACCTTAACATTTCTGCTTCGATCCAAAAGCTTCATCCTCTCATTGAGCGCTCTCTGCGTATTCTACTTCGAAAGAGCCTCCCCAAATTTTGCTCCTCTTATTTCTTAGCACCCGAGTTGGTTAAAGGGACACGGCTGAAATGAAAACCTATGGTAAGGCAAACTTTCGAGCATATAGTTGCAACTTAATTGAAGGGACACCCTCGTTCAGGATGTACAGGGTTCTCGATTTTTCATTTTTTATTTTCTAAAATCAAGGAATTCTGAACTATCCAGTAGGGACATCATCATTAATCAGACTTTAATACATTGGTCTATAGTCATTGGTCATTGGCCTACCCTACGAGATAGCATAAAATCGCGACTGAAGGTAATCATGAACTTATCGAAGCAGTAATGCCAATTTTTATTTGTTTTTTTTTTTCTTAACATAAAATAAGGGCATTTTTGAGATTTCTGGCAGGAAACGCACCTTCATGGGCTATAATTTTGATGAGTATGGGCTTAACATTTCCATGCGATAGTAAATAATCGCTATTTGTGGAGAAAATAGAATTTTAAAAGCAATGTTACCAAGTTTAATTTAATTTCTTACAAAAATTGTGAATATCATCAAGTATATGAATGCTCGGAAAATGTAATTTTCAAGTCATTCCTGCTATTTTGATGGCTGAATATCACCATTGTTTTGTACAGGATCACTATTTATGGCAAAAATGGAATTTTTAGAAGAACGTTGCCAAATCGTGTACTCATATTTATTTCACGGCTATAGACGCTGATGTTCTCATAAGTTTTTCGCACAGAAATCGCACGTTTTGTGGCGTATCTTCACAAAGTACCGTCAATTGCACTCGCACTGTTTGTCGACGCAAACGTTCAAATTCATCACATTGAGATAATGATGAATACTGGGATAATAGAGATAATGGTAATATTTTGCCTCCACCACAAGGTGATAGCTTCTATTTCCGCACGAAAACCTTATAAGAAACGATATCGGCGTCTTGACGTGAAATAAATATACACGATTTGGCAACGTTGCTCTAAAAATTTCTTTTTTATCTTCAATAGTATAATCATGTAGCAAACCATGGTGATATTCAGACATCAAAATGACAGGTGACTGCCTTGAAAATTACGTTTTCCGATCACTCACTTATTAATATTTTCAATGTTTATATGAGAAATAAAATCAAACTTTGGCAACATTGCTTTTAAAATTCTATTTTCTCTACAAATACCTATTAATTATATCGTGTAGTAATGATCAGCTCATGCTGATTAAAGTTATAGCCCATGAAGGTACGTTTCCTGCCAAAAATCTCGAAAATACCCACATTTTAAGTTAAAAAAACAAATAAAAATTGCGAAAAAAAAGATAGCCTTACCATAAGCTTTCATTTTAGCATTGTCCCATTGACCAACTCGGGTGTAAAAGAAAGGGCGAAAAAACACCCCTTTATGGCGAAGCCCTTTACAAACCAAAATAAATGGGTTGTAACTCCAGGATTAGACCAAAATGTATGTACTTAACTGAAGTATCACATGTATTTACTGCACATCAGACCGAGAATTTGGTAATTTGGACGGATCGAAGCAGAATCAGTTCATTTACGTAAGTTGTTTCCTAATTTCCTCTCAGACTTTATTTGCTAACTTAAAACGAGGCAATATTATATCTTGAAATTGTGGAGGTATATCTTTTATAATACAGGGGAAATCCAAGAGGAAGTCTTAACGCGTTATGTTCTTTGGTTTTACGTTGAGCAAATTAAAATACCTAAGAGAGGAATTCAGGCAATGTCTTATGTAGATTTATTCCGTTCATAAAATACGTGACGCCAAATTTCGAACTTTCCGACCTCCTCCACCTTCAGCGAAACGCTTTCGTGTAGGCTCCTATTTTTTTAAAAGAAAAAACAAAACGCGCACTCCTCCACCTCCTTCCCCTCAAGAGCGTGAAGTATTTTATTAACGGCTCTTTAGGCTAAGTTTGCATAAATTCGTCCATTTTATAGTGTTTCCTTTCCATATCGACGGTGTAAGTCGGCAATCACATACTTAACTCGGTTTGCGACGTCGCAGACTTCCTGTCATACTTTATTTTTTAAACGGGAAACTACCTACTCAACGGCAACCCTTTAAAACTGCCGTGATTTTTCTTCTTGGTGCGAGGAAAATTCTGCAAAAACTTCAAGGTATGATGTCAATTTGTTCTCCTTTAAAGAGATAACATAGAGGCGGAGATTTTCAGACACCGCAAACGAGTTATGTGATTGCCGACTTACACCGTCGATATGTCTACAAGATGAAAAAAAAAAATTGTATGTATGACAGACTCTAGCCGGTAATTGTAGAACTTCTTTTGAAATATACCTAAGACGCAGGATGACTCCCAGTAGGTAATCGGAGGTCGGTGTCAGTTCAATGCCGTGCTGTGATTCGTCGTGTCGGGACCCTCCCAGCAAATGAGCGAGGCTCTAGGGAGGGATCGCGACTTGGCGAGGGCGTGACTTCAATTTCTGCGACAGGGACAGCCCGCAGGGTGTCGTTTAGTCGGACGTATTAAGCGCGCCCTGGGACATATCCTCCTCAGAAATTATTCGCTCCGCTGTTTTTAACGCTACGAATAATTGTGTTAGCCTCGCGTCGTCCAAATTTTAATCATTCTAATTAAATTTTAAATTAACTATTTATTAATTACGTCCAACTAAGTGTGGTAGAAGTTTTGTGAAGGCTCGAAATTATCCACTTCAAAATTCACTGTCGAAGCGAATCTGAAAACTTGGTGGGAATTTTTATTTTGTCAAAACCATTTTGAAAATTTTTAACTTTCGCGTGAGCTGTGAGCTACGGCTTTTCACTTCACTACATAGACTTTATCATCCACGAATGTATGCTCATTTAACTAGGAGTAAGTTTCGCAAGTTCTTTGTTCAATGTTTCTTTTTTGAATAATTTTGATTCCCGTGTTGCCGGAGAAAGACGTCTTCGTGGTGATTTTTATTGTCAAGTCCCGCGTAGTTATCAGAGTAAGTCTTTGCTGAAGAGTCTTCAACACAATCCCTCACGCGTATTCAATACCTAAGGCGCCTACGATGGAAAAATGTTGTGTTTACCATTTAAGTGAAATTAATTGATTAAAGATAAAAATGAAGGTGCTTTTTGTGAATATTTTTGTGTTTCTATGTTTGCGCCGTACTGCCCACTTGAAATTTTGGGACGAGTGTTCCGCTGTTTATTTTTTCGAAGATCGAAGACAATCCAAAGAAACCTGCCCCTGGTAGAACAATTTAATCATAGAAGTGGGTTATTGGTGTTGTGTTTGGAGGTATTGCCGGATTTGAGGATACACCCTGATCAGAATACGGACTTTCTACTATTTACAAGGTAAGTTGCGATCAGTGGACTTAATTCCTTATGATTAAGTAACCGCGAAAAATTCAAGAAAGGCGGCAAAAGTTGAAAGTTTTAGTGCTTTTTTAATATTTAAACATGATCGGAGAAGCAGGAAATATAAAAATAAAATTAAAAGTAATGAAAAAAACTGAATCTCTGACCCTTATGCTGCGAATTTTTTACTGTACAGATTATTGTAAAGAAAAAAGGTCATTTTACTTAATGATAATATCTTCAACAATAGTATTACTTCTGAAAACCAACGTGAAAATTGTGTAAATTATATTACGACTCTCCGCTTACAGGACATACCATGCAGTGATACCTACCTATTTCTGAGAACTAGTTGTGATTAGCTCGCTTTGCGAGCTGACACGTCTAGCCGGGGAGTGCCCCTGGACCCCAGTTCTACGCTTCGCGACGAACTTGCGACTCGCTCCGCGAGCCGCCACCGCCCCGCACAGTTTTTAACATTGATGAGGAGACAACATCTATGTCTTAATCTTCTTTTTCACCAAGTTTTACAGAAATTGATGTTCTAGGAGTCCGGACCGCGCTTTCGTGCGGGGCCGCCATCTTGTATTTGGAAATGTTGAAAATCTGACCAAAAATGCGAGTTTTCCGTCGAAATACATTTCCTAATACCGAATTTCACAAAAATCGATGGATGGAAAGCCGAGATAACAATTTAGACCACGTTTGCCATTTTTGATTTTTGAATTTTGAAAATCGGACCTAAAATTCTAATTTTCCGTCGAAATACACCTCCTAATACCGAATTTCACAAAAATCGATGGATCGGAAGCCAAGATAGCAATTTAGACCACGTTCGTCATCTTGGATTTTTGAATTTTGAAAATTTGACCTTAAATTCTAATTTCCCGTCGAAATATATCCCCTAATACCGAATTTCACAAAAATCGATCGATATCAGGAAGCGATATAGCATTTTAGGCCACGGCCGCCATCTTGGATTTTGAAATTTTGAAAATCTAACCAAAAATTCGAGTTCCCCGTCGAAAAGTACCCAAGATCTCCGAGTTTCTCAAGAATCGATCAAACAGGAGCCGACTTAGAATTTTAGGCCACGGCCACCATCTTGGATTTGGAGAGTTTGAAAATCTGACCAAAAATTCGAGTTTTTCGTCGAAATATACCCGTGAATACCGAGTTTCACGAAAATTGATAGAACAGGAGCCGACCTAGCATTTTAGGCCACGGCCGCCATCTTGGATTTTGAAATTTTGAAAATCTGACCAAAAATTCGAGTTTCTCGTCGAAAAATACACTAGGATACCGTATTGCACGAAAATCGATCAAACAGGAGCCGACTTAGCATTTTAGGCTACGGCCGCCATCTTGGATTTTGAGATTTTGAAAATCCGACCAAAAATTCGAGATCCCCCGAGAAAAATACTCCCGCATACCAATTTCCACCAACATTCGTCGAAAAATACCTCCTAGAACCTTAAATTTCGTCTATAAGGCAGTGACGTCACGCAAGAGGATTGAACCTGTTCGGCGCGATGCGCGTAAACAACCGCGTATCTCCAATGTAATACTATGTGGAGAAATAACTTTCCGCTCTTGCGGGCATCCGAGGCAGCGGATTTGAATGGGAATACTTTTAATCAACTCCTCATTACAATAGCTAAGCGTGTACCAATTTTAAAGGAAATCGCTTCGGCCAATTTTTATCTAGGGGGGGGGGGCATAGTGAGTGGGAACAGCAGCTTTATATAGAGTAATAATGATGATGGTTGTGTGCAGGAGCGAGACTCACCAGGCGGTCGAAAGCCCGGGAGACCGAAATTGAAACGGAAACGGAAAACACATCGTAATTTCAGAGAGTTACAGGAGGTAAAAAAACCGAGTAAGATATTTACAGAACGTTGAGAAAAATGATTTGAGACCTCATGTTTTGGAGAGGGGCGACGAACTTGGAAAATTCTGATTCCACTTTCTTCTCACGGAATTTATCATGGGCGTGGTTTCACGATAACTGGAATAGTCTTTTCGTCGTGACAGACAACACATTTTTCGGTCATATTTTTAGTAAAAATGATAATCACTCGATTTTTTTCGCATTAATCTTCAAAGGGTTGGGTCGATTTTAGCTAATGGGAGAAAATGGTTCTGAAAAAAAGTTGAAAAGTGATTTGGCCATATCAAGCTATAGACTACTTTTATGTTATCTTAGAGCTCATACTATAGGATTTACTTACGTGCATCGCAATGTCTTTACGATTATTTTTCTTTACCAAGTCTGACATGTCAGGTTTGGTGACGTCACCAAACTGACTGCTGTTATTAATTTTTCCTGCCAATTTGTAGTAACAAAATCAAACAAATCATTGAGGGAAGGTCGAGAGGCCACCTGTAGATGTAAGAAAAAAATATATTCGCTCACATATTCCTTGCATATTTCACCAAAATTTTTGATGGAAAACAGCGTCACCAAACTGACATTGAATGAGTGAGACACTCCAAAAACCATGGAAAAAACTGAAATTAAGCTGAAATTGGAAGAAATATGTGGACTTATCAAGTGTACGTCTGTTCGTTCTACTTTTCCGCACTCAGTCATGCCTTAATCCGCACACAAGCGCTATCTCTTGAGTGGCCACAAACTAAAACGCATAGCGTCACCAAACTAACATAATATTGAGTTACACGCTTCAAGTCTCAAATTGAATTGTATAATATAGTTTTCTGGTGTTTCAATGCATATTATATCAAACAATATACATTTAAGACTTAAAAAAAAAAAAAAAAANAAAAAAAAAAAAAAAAAAAAAAAAAAAAAAAAAAAAAAAAAAAAAAAAAAATTAGACAAAGCTCGAAAAAGGTCCTGGTTTATTTGAATCACTAAATATTAAAAGGGCACAAGTCCAATTTTTGGCGAAATTGAGTTAGGAGCGGATTCTTATTCCTCATCGATAGACGCATCTTGTGTCAAAAAAAGGTACTTGTCTGCAGCTTTTAAATACGTTAAAAACAGCTGCAAAAAATAACTAAATTCGAAATTTTTTTTTCGATTTATCTTTGTGCGCGAAAATTTCGATTTATCTTTGTGCGCGGATCATCTGGTGTGGAAATATAACCTATAACTTTCGGAATCCGATTCTACCACGTGTTTTCCAATACAAGAAACTTATACTGTTTTCGTCAGCTCTCTGTTGACACTTTTGGAATTCATTATTTAAGAGACGACACCATTATGTAGTATGTTTATCAGGGAACAACTGCCCGCAAGACCCCAGATGATGTGATATCTTTTGTTATCCTCTATATTGAACATTTTACTGGTGCTGATATTGAAGAAGTTGATGAATTGCATATATTTTGTGATAATTGCGGGGATTAAAACAAAAACCACGCTCTCATACGTGCTTTAATGTCCTTGATTGAAACAGAGAAAATTAAGACGCTAAAATTATTCTTTCCTCAACGTGGGCATTCGTAGGTAACTCCCTTGCGACTGGGCATTTGGGCTTATAAAACGTACCTAAGGTCAGGAGAACAGAAAGACTGTATACTATTTACCAATACGTTGATTTAATTCTCAAGGCTTCAAAAATTGTTGGGAAACTTTGAGTTTTTTTAGTTGACCAGGCCATAATGTTTGACTTCCAAGGATGGCTTAAAGAATACTATTTTAAGCAGGTCGAGTCCCAAGAAACCAGAGTGGTAGCCATAGGTAGACCAGTGGTGGATTACATTTATAATTTCCACCTATCATCAATTTGAATGCACGACTGAGAACTTCATGGTCTTAAAGGTTTCTGAGTGTATTTCGGGTCTTGTGCGACTTTGACATTCAAACTGAGAAAATCAAATGTAAGTAATGCCACTTCGTTTACCCACAAAATACTTGTACACAGGGGTTGTTCCCATTGTTGATAAGAAGATGGCAGATCTGAAACCTTACGTCCCCTCTGAATTTAAAAAACCGGATATATATATGATATATTTTCGTGATCTACGACCCGTGATCGGTGCCTTTCACAAGGTCTCGGGTTTCGGTCCGACATCATGGGAGAATGCAATACCTAGTGTATTTTCTTCGGAAAATAGGTACACTAAAAGTTCTGGGCAGACATGTTTTTGATAACCACGGAAACTATAGTGAAACTCGAAAAGAGCGAGTCCATGGTAGGCAAGAAGAGTAGCATTTAAGATGTTTTGTATCTCTTGTCAGCTAGAAGCTTGAAAATAAGCATTTTGTAAAAAAAATTGGTTTAAATTAGTAATTAACTGCTTAAACCTGCCATCTTAGCCCGTCGAATACAAAAAGGGCACAAGTCCAAACTTTTTAAATTGCTACCAATAGGCTAGTTACTAATATTTTCAGATAAACAAACCATCATTATACGCAGGCTGCCGTATAGAATCCAATTTTAAACATAACAACTTACCAAAATATATCTACCACGAAATGAACAGTTTTTCGTGTCTCCTGAACAATTTGCTTTCTAGACTTGTACCCTTTTTGTATTTAGTGATTCATTTATACAACGACTTGATACATTGATTACCTCCAAGTTACACGTCACAAAAATGACAGTTTCACTGTTTAGCACGTTGAAAAAACGGTTTGGAGTTATTCAAATCTCCTAAGGAATTTTTTAGTGGTTGGTGTAACCTGCTTCTACGCAAAAAACCAAACATCGAAAGAAAATATTATAATTGAAAGTTTTTAGCAACCAGTTACACGTCTTTCCCATATTTTATCCCATTAGCTGAAATTCACCCGGTTACGTATTGTAACGCTCTCTAATGGTCCGTTGCTCTACTTTTCAATTTTAATATATAAATGGCCAAAAATGTGCTATCTTTTAAGTCAGCGTAACAGACAGCATATTTTTGGCCATTTATATATTAAAATTGAAAAGTAGAGCGATAAATCTTTGAAAAGCGCTATAACACGTAACCCTGTGTAAATTAATGCAAAAAAATTCTAGTAATTATCATTACCTACTCCTAAAAAT